CAGGGGGGGCTGCCGCCGCCGTCTCCAGGGGGAAGCTCAGGGGCCTAAGGCAGGTCATGGCCCAGCAGTTGCCCCAATCTCAGCTGCGGTTTACTGAGCAGTTTCACTCACTGCAGTTTTCTCAGCTTTGCCCCCGTCTTTCCGTCCTGTCTATGTCCTTTTTCTTTCTGATGATAAGAGCAGCCCAGATGAAATCGCAGCCCTTACTCTTGGGACAGCAACTTTCAATTTTCTGTGCTGCTGAGAAGCCTTGAACCAGTTCTGACAAAGTGATGTATCCTTTTTCATTTCAGTGACTGTTTAACCTCAGCCATTTGACCATCAGTCATGTACTGTGGAGTATATCAGAGCTTTCTGAACAACTTCAACTTCTAGCACTCTTCCTCCCTCATGTCCTGACTCCTCCAAGCAATTTCTAGTGACAGACTTCAAAAGCTTTTGTGATATTTTAGCTTTATGGACATGTGTACTCTAAGTTGATGGAAATTCTTTCTCCTTACCTTTCCTATCACACAGCTGCAAACAGGCAGTCAGGATTATAGCAAGCTGTGAGCATCTGATATTTTTTTTCTTACTTTCAAGATGCACTGGAATGGGACAAGAGATTTCCTTCAGGCTTGTCCCAAAAGAGAGAATTCTTATTGAGGGCAAGAGCACATGCAAGCGAGGCAGATACCTACGAGGTCAGAGAAGGAGCTCAATTGTTTTACAAATCAGGGATTTACTTAATATACGTTCATTGTCACTTCTCCAGAGTGCTGAAGAACTGCAACTTTTAGGTCTGTTAGCACAATCTGGCAGAGGCAAGGAGGCAGGTAGCACACTGCTGTCTGCTTAGAAGCATAGCTGTGGTGGCACAGCTGGTGGTGGCCTGCTGGATTGAGAAAGGCTTTGTAAATAGCTGTATAGCCAGGTTTCAGGAGACCAGCACCATATAGCTGTACGGCTTCAGGAGACCAGCACCAAGAAGTGTGCATGTGTATATGAGAGAGGGAGAGAGAGAAATACTAATATGAAAATGGCATTTTGTTACCAAATATTTCTATCTATCTACTTTGCTGTCTTTGGGTTCAGCAATTATCTAATTCATACCCAAGGCTAATGGGATCCTGGGCTGCATTAGGCAGAGTGTTGCCAGCAGGTCGAGGGGAGGTGATCCTCCCCCTCTACTCAGCCCTGGGGAGGCCTCATCTGGAGTACTGTGCCCAATTCTGGGCTCCCCAGTACAAGAGACACATGGCGCTACTGGAGAGAGTCCAGCGGAGGGCTACTAGGAAGATGAAGGGGCTGGAGCATCTCTCCTGTGAAGAAAGGCTGCGAGAGCTGGGCCTGCTTAGCCTGGAGAAGAGAAGACGGAGAGGCAATCTGATCAATGTGTACAAGTATGTGAAGGGAGGGTGTCGAGAAGATGGGGCCAGTCTCTTCTCCGTGGTGCCCAGCGACGGGACAAGAGGCAACGGGCACAAACTGAACCACAGGCAGTTCCATCTGAACCTGAGGAAAAACTTCTTCACTGTGAGGGTGACAGAGCACTGGCACAGGTTGCCCAGAGAGGTAGTGGAGTCTCCTTCCCTGGAGATATTCAAAACCCGCCTGGACACGATCGTGGGCAATGTGCTCTAGAGGACCCTGCTTGAGCAGGGGGGTTGGACTAGATGATCTCCAGAGGTCCCTTCCAACCTCAACCATTCTGTGATTCTGTGATACTTTTGCTTTCTATCAGCAAGGTTACATCTCCCTCAGCAACTTTACCAAATGATGTCTTGACATCATCAAAGACAATCATGGGCTGTAATTTTTAAGAGCGTTACCCTTTCCTGCCTGGTTCTGTTACATGTTTTATGTTTGTTCACAGATTGCAGTCGTAATACATCCCTCCCACTGCCGATCCACGGAGAACAGGCTGGCAGTAGCAGCAGTGAGCATGGGTCTGTTTCGCCAGACTCTGACGTACAGCATGACGTGTTTTTTGAAAGGCCAAAGAGATCCATTTCAGAGATTCAGACAAAGCATCACATTTCCCATTTATTAAGGTAAAGTGTGTGGTTTTAGCTTGACCCCAGTGATGCTTACGTGCATTTAATTCATGTTACTTTTTTGTATGTAGGCAATTGTTGCACACAATGAGTACATAAGCAGCTGTGTTAAACAGCAAGTGTACTGCATAAACAAGTTACCAGTTGATTTAAGTGTTGTTCACGTGTAACTAGGGAATCATGATTTTGTTTTTCTCTCTTCCGAAGGTTTTCATGTATTTATGTACTTTTTTCCAGTGAATAAACGTCTGGGTTTTTTTTCCTGTTAACTGAATGGATATATAAGTGGAAGAGTTTCTCCTTTCCAAATACTCATGAAAATTTTGGGAAAGGGGCAGCAGAAGCACGGTTCTGCTGATCAGAGAGCACAAAACACTTTCAAATTAATGTGTTACAGTATGGGGCCAGAAGAAACGTGTAGTTATCTCCATCCACGGTTTTCAGCTTTCCTCCCAAAAATTGAACCAGGACTGAGTGACTTTGGTACCAGTTTCTCAGTAGGATGGAATCAGTATGGTGCCCTTGGCTTCAGGGAGGAAGGCTGGTTTACACCAGCTGAGGATCCAAACGGTCTTTTCTCTCCTAATTAGCGTTTAGCAGCCTGGTCAATCTGTTGCTGTTGTTTAGCCCCCTTTCTAACCTATTAACTGTCCCCACTCACCTGTGGCAGAATTGACATATTGCTAATGCTGAGGTCTCTCTTTGTGTTTGGCTCTGCTGCTGCCCCAGCGTGCCTGACGAGAGCTTGGTGTCGGAGGACAGGAGCGCGTCTCCTTCTGTGGAGGACAAGGATTCTGGCCTCTTTCTGCTGAGGAAGGACAGCGAACGCCGAGCCATTCTGTATAAGATTCTTAAAGAAGAACAGAATAAAGTTGCTTCAAATTTGCAGGACTGTATTGCACAGGTAATTTCACTTTAGCACTTTTCCTGCTTAAAAAGGAAAATTAAAAATCAGGTAGTCAGTATCATTCCTTTTCTGAAGACCAATAAATGAAGGTGCTAACAGTTTTAAATTAGTAGCAGTTTACCTTTCTGCAGTTAAAGCTTACCCTGGCAATCGTGTTTGACAGCCTGTGAACTTTTTAACTGCTTGGATTGTTCCTTCTGGATATCTTAATCTCTGAAATATGTAACTGTGTAAGGCTTTTGCTGTTTTCTGAATGGATAGCACACGCCATCTTCTGTCTGCTGCTGGGCTCTTGGTTTTTGCTTTTTTTGGTGGGGTGGTGGTTACTTTGCAGGTGTTCCAGAGGGCCTGGGGGGAGAGGTTGTGGGTTTTTCTTATTTTAATTTTTTAAAGGATATAGAAATGGAACACCAGCTAGTAATAGGTCTTGTTAGCAAAACTACAGATAATTCAAAATATATGTAAAGTAGGCACAATAAGTTAACCTTTAAAAAGCTAAAGCAGGTTTCTGTAGGGGGAAGGGTTGACTCTAAAGAGAAGCAAGAAAAAAGCATGCGTTCCATGGCCCTGAGCTGTGGGTGTTGGGAAGGGTTAATCGGTAGCCAAGATATGCCATACACCAGGAACAGAGTTGATTGATTGATTGTTTAGCCTTTTCTTCCTGATGTCTGCTTATAACGTGCCACTGACAGGATGTATTTTTACAAAAGCTACTTTTTTTTTCACCTGAGCTAAGTTTACACGAAGGGGAGCCTGCTAACTCTTGCAGCGGTGTCCCTAGGCAGCTGTCGGTGCACTGGCAGCACTGCTGGCAGCCCGGCCGTGAGGCTGGCAGGGCCCTTCTGGCTCCTGGGGTCAGCCCCGGCTGAGCCCAGCGGTGGGAGCTGGCTCCATCCAGTGCAGGGTCTGCTTCTCTCTGTGACTCGCTTCCCCTGCAGGCCGTGTACCAGGGCGAGCCACTCGCCTCTAGCCTGGGGGAGGCAGGGGCTGGGCCCGTTCAGCTTTACTGGCCCTGAGAAAAGGGCCTGCAGGCCAAAGCTGGTTAAGTAAGTAGGGGCACATTTCTGCCCTGCTCTGAACTTAAATTGCAGCATAGCTCACAGCCTTACAGAGGACGAAAATTCATATGAGAGACCTTAGTCGGAACTAGGTTTGGAACCAGGGTTCTAAATATTTTCCAGGATAAGGAAGGATTATTTAGTAACAGCAAGTCCTACCTCAGTCTCCAGCTGTTTTGTGGCACTGCTCTAATGTTCTCTATCATCTCCTCCCCATCATTTCTGTAATGCTTCTCCCTTTGCCTTTTAATTATACAGGTTTGTTGTTGTCCCATGTAGTACTTGGGTGGCCCTAACTGTGTAGGGGTTATGGACTTTAGATCATCAAATGAAGCCTTGAGGTCTGTCACTGAACTTTTTCTGACTTCTTATAAATATGTATATAAACATGATGCTTTGTCTAAGGACATCAGATGTCTGCACAGTTAGATGTAAGTTCAGATTCAACCTACTATAATGATGGCATTTACAAAAATGTGGGTCTCTTATCAGCCCACTCTGCTATTTTTATGGAGGAGAGCTACCCTTTGCAGTACACTGGAGAAACATATAGATCTTATCTGGAACCTCTTGCCTCTGTGGCTATCACAAAGGGAATAGACTTAATTTTATTTTTGGAAAGTAGGAGTTAACATAAAAAAATTTGGTTAGAAGAAGGTAGACAATAAAAGCTCTGTACGGGCAAAACTTGTGTGATTTCTGTGCATAGCTGTGAAATGCACATGTGCAAAGCTAAAAATGGTAACCCTAAATATACTGATGCTACTAATTAGTTGTTTATGAATCAGAGATTTACTTAATATATGTTCATTGTCACTTCCCCAGAGTTCTGAAGAACTGCAACTTTCAGTAACCCACATCAAGCAAATTATTGGGATCTTAAGGGACTTCATACGCTCTCCTGAGCAGAGAGTGATGGCTTCTACCATATCCAAGTTGAAAATGGATTTAGACTTTGACAGCACTTCCATCAATCAGATCCATCTGGTGCTGTTTGGTTTCCAGGATGCGGTGAGTTCTTGACTTAGCACAGAGGGAGACAAATTCTTCTCAGACAAACCTCACCCCCGGTGCTTGTAGCTTCCCTGCTTTTCCTCGTGCGGTCCTGCTGAGCAGCCATTTTCTGTCTCAGTCCAGCCTCTGTGCCTTTCAGGAAAGGTGGGAGAGTATGGGCACTGTGGAGTAGATAAGGCCCTGGCGACAGATCCTAGGGAGGACTAGGAGAAGAGAAAACATATTTGAAGGCCAGGTTTCACCTGGAGACCCTGTGACCACTGATGCTGAAAGCGCCCTTGGGCAAGGAGAAAGCATAGGGGTTGTTCCAGGCATCAAACAAGCTCTGCTGAGGTGTTGTGTCCCGGCACTCGGGCGCAGATACACAGCCGAGATGTGCCGGAGCCTCATTGAGCTCCCAGTAGGCCATGAGGCCAAGTGGTGCTTGAGGGGCTGCCTGTGGGCTAATAGCAAGCACTAATGTCTACGGTGGGTCCTACATCAATTTTCTGGTCTACCTCTCTTTGTAATGAAGAGGGGGCTTGAATGTTACGGTCTGGGTAGAGTTTGAGTGCTGTAGCCTAAAAAGGTCAAATCCATTGATTAAACTTTCAAAGGTGAGGAGGCTTTACTGACTCTTGCAGTTGCTACTGTATAATACTTTGACTATTGAAAAACGAGATTTTCTTTCCTAAGGTATAAGCATATGTCATCTGCTGTTCCTTTGACTTGTTTATTTCTTTATAGGTGAACAAAGTATTAAGGAACCACTTAATAAGGCCCCACTGGATGTTTGCAATGGATAACATCATTCGCCGTGCAGTCCAAGCAGCAGTAACTATTCTTATTCCAGGTAACTCAAAACAGCTGAACACAGTCTGAAGGTGGGTGAGGGGAAGGGGAAAGGGCTGTTCCCATATCAGAGATGCAACAAATGCTGACAGATTAAATGTAAATATCTAAACTGTTCCAAGTCATTAACTGCACCCTGTGTGTCACTACATCAAAGGCACAGGGTCAGAATGTTGTGCAGAAGTGTAGAGCTTGAGGAGTAATGCTGTACCAGCAGTACGAAAGTGCCTGACAGGTAAATTCCAAGTGGTACTACACCATCAGTGTGGTCCAGCTATTTAAAAAAAAAAAAAAAAAAAAGGCAAATACTGTCCAAGCTGAAGCATTTCTGGTAAGAAACAAACTATTTTTTACAACATTTTAAACCCAAGGTGGATAACTATGAAGAGGTCTGGTTATGTATTCTGAAAAAAGATTACTGAACACTGGAATAGATGCAGAGAAGGGGAAGGGACAGTACATTTATTTGAGGAGGAATATGATTTTGGCCTATACGTTGGTAGTAGGAAAAATCACTACCAAGGAGGAGGGTAAATGACGATGAACTGCTTAGGAATAAGTCTAAGTTGGAAATTTCCAAGTAGTTTCGTGCTTTGAAGTGCTGAGCCCTCTCCAGTGTGAGAATATTCTGAGGGCACTTACTGATGGTGAGCCCTTTTGGTCCCAAGTGGTTATGGCTTGCTAGCCAAATGGGCCAATTTTTTTCAGAATTTCATGAGTAGGAGGAAAACAGAAACCCTTCTTTAGTGGGAAGGGCAGCAGTCTGCAGCACTTCAGAGAAAGTCCAGAGAAATGGAGTTAGAAATGCTACCAGAAAGAGAGGAAGGCTTTGTAAAACTGTTCGGTTAGGGTATTAGAGGGGAAGCAACCTTTTTGCTCTTAAAAAAAGGAAAAAAAAAAAGAAAAAAGGAAAGGAAAAAAAAGGCAGCTTTGGAGGGTTTCTCATTAATTTTATTAACTAACTGTTTTATTAGGCAGTTCATTAATTTTCTACTGCGTCACAAGCATATTTGTCAAAAGATTCTCTCCCTTGTAATCTACAGCAACCTCTATTGGTAATCTACAGCAGAGCTACTGTAGTGCCACTCATACATATTTTAGAACTTATGCCATAAAATCTATGGTCTGGGTAACATGAGACTTTGCTACTCCCCCACCCCATATTCTAAGAAAGTACGTTGTGAAGAGTCCACTTTCTCAGCTGAAGCTTTCCCAGGCCCAGGAATAAAGAACAAACTGTGCTACCTCCAAAGACAGGCTTATCCAAAAAATTCTTATATTGTTTCATTTTGTCAGAGCTTCGAGCTCACTTTGAACCAGCGTCAGAAACTGAAGGTGGGGATAAAGATGGTGATGAAGTGGAGGACAGTTACCAGCCCACTGAACAAAACAGGACTGAGGATCCAGCCGTTGCGTCAGGAGTCAGCACCCTCAGTCCTGTGGTGTTGCAGGAGGCTCAGCAGCAGCTTAGCCTGGAGTTGGGCAGACTTAAACAAGAGAGCTTAAGGTAACCTTCACATAAAGAAAGCCTGTGGATTTATTTTCAGGGAGTCTCTGAAACGCTCTCAGACATGTTTGCTACAGTGTCCTGTAGCTGCATAACATATATACTCTCACCTAGTGCAACTGCCTCATGTTAAAGCGGAACTTGCAGGAACACACATGGATTCTGAATACACTAGCAGCACCTGTGTGACAACTCAGCCAACAGCCTTCAGTACAACTTTGTTTCTGTGGAATTTCTTAATGGCAGAGTTCTGTGTTGAATTTCTACTCTTTAAGAAATTAGGCCTGTGCAATTCTGCCAATTTCCTTCCTGCTTCTTTAGATCCTTGGATGCTGCCTGACTCTGTGGCAGTGTTCTCAAAGAAAGACGATCAGTTCCTACAAGTTTTACAGAAGTAAAAGGTAAATGCAGGGGACACTGCCTCCTGTGAGGAAGGGCCAGAAGGCTTCTTACCTCATCCACGGGTTGAGCTGCCTGCTACTTAACACAGGCAGAGCTCAAAACAAACAGCCCCTTTCCTATTTACTGTGGGCTAATTTTGCAGGCTGTTGCCAATGCGTTAACAGTGGAGGGTCCCATTCTTCCCTACAGAAATGTAAATCTATCATCAGAAAGTCCCTGATATAACTCTGCAGTGTTGTATTGTTTTTAGTAAATTACAGTATAAAGGCAGCAACTCTGCACACTGAAACCACACAATAGGAAGAGCATTTACAGCATATTTACTAACTTCTGTGAAGGTGCAAGCCTTAATGTGCCACCACTAAGCTGAGTCTCAGACAAGCAAAATGAAATCTGTAAGTCACAGGCGATGTTATTTAAGAGCATAGCTATTGTGTAACTAACTCTTATTCTTTGGGTGTTGTTAAAAGTACTACTTTGTTTCAACTAGATCTGCTCTAGGTATGGCTGTGTTTGACCTCTCTCTCATATGCTAACAGGCTTTTGGAAAACCTAGTTCAGAAGGAGAAAGAGTATCAGACCCTCTTACAACAATCTTTGGAGCAAAGAACTCAGGACTTACACTTGCTTCAGTTAAAACGTAACATTGAAGGTATGCAGAGATCGTGTACTTTGACAGTTGCACACAAATGTATCCTTTGATCCTTTAAAGGATGATTTGCTTTGGCTCAGGGTAGTTTAAAAGACTATTTTAAGCTTAAATAGTCTAAATCCATCACTCTTGTCCTGGTTTTGAGGTGAATTAATCTATGACGTCAATTCTGTTAAAGAATCCCAACGGTCTGCAGCAACCCTTAGAGAGAATGCAGACCCTGAGCTCATGAACTGGCTGAAACAACAAGGAGCTGACTTGGATGCAATTAAGAAGGTAAAAAACAAAGCAAAACAAAAACCTATCTTAAAATAAAGGTCATTGAGAGTTTAGTTTCGAAGTGGTAATCTTAATTTAGGAACAACTTACTTTGCCTTTTAGTTTGCTGAAGAGGATTATACTCTCAGTGCGGTCCTTAATGATATCACTAAAGATGATTTACGATATCTGCAACTACGGTAAGAAAACAGCTTACTGTTAGGAGCTTAATTAGCTTCTAGAAAAGTATTTTTAAGAGAGTTAGGATATTTAAATGGGTCAGTGATAATTGAGTGGCAATGACTGGTAATTTTAATCTTTATCTTCTGTTTCCCTTATCTTAACAGAACTATGTAATGACAGCACTTAGGGTGCTTCATGCCATCTGTGTTTTGGCATTTATCAAGGTTGGGAACCAACCATTCGAATCCACGATTTTAGGACTAAGTAATCAGATGGAAAACAGGCATAAAGAATTTCTTTCCTACCCACTACTGATTTAAAAAAAAAAAAATCCTTTCAGTATCATTCAGTTACCCCTGTGGCTGGCAGGAAATATGTTGTTCTGCCCATAACCTTAAAGGAGTGTAGCGTTCACTGTGTATTGTCACACAGTAACTCCTGGTAGTAACGCCTTATGATTTCTGGATTTTTTACTTCTTGCTTGCTTTAAAATAATGGAGAGAAGAGTTTTGTGGCCCCTGCCCAGTCTGTCACTGTAATTCCTAATTGTTTTCAATTCTCCTTCATATAGTGGTGGTCTTCTCTGCAGAATTTGGAATGCAATATTAATCCATCGACAAACATCTGCTAAGACCTCAGAGGCAGAAGGTTAATTCTTTGGAAACAGAATATATAACAGGAATAAGCAAATAAAGACACATTCCTAATACTTAAATTATTACATGTGTATATATATTTGTATGTATGTATTGTGGCCTTGCAGGTTTTGCACAACTATGTAGCTTATTTGACTTTCAGTGTAATGCAGTGAATAGTAAAAGTTTTTAAGTCTGCGTTAATGCACCTCATGAATAAAACCATACTGCAGAAGTCAGCTACCCATCACTAAATATAAAGCAATAGCTGAGAAAAAGCTTTTCTGCAAAGCAGTTACCACACCTGAACTGGATTTAGCATTTTGAAAACTGAACTTAATGTGTTACAGTTCTGCTCTCTGATGGCGTGAGCAGGAAGCAATGACACTCTAGCATGTATGTCACCTCTTCGTAGACAAATGTATATAGCTTTTTATATTAAAGCAACTCTCCCTAAACTACTATGAAAAGCTGGGTATGATACCTTTCATTTAGCAATGTTTCTGCAGCAGAAACATAACACTGAACTTTTTTGAAAGTGGTTCATCTAGAAAAAAAATTGACCAGATAAATGTTGTTCAAGTTTAATATTTTTATACTGTACATGACACATACAGCCATCCAAAGAAAAGTCACTAAGCAAATATATAGCAATTTAAATAAACCACTGCTTTCTCCTAATTCAGCTCCCGCTGAAGCAACATCCAGCATCTTTAAGACAATCCGTAATAAGATGGATTTCCCTATGCAATCTTTAAAGCTCCTCTTTTGAAAGAGCTTTTAAATAAGCTTAAGGGTTGTTTCAGAGTCATTATAGTTCTTGTAAATACCTTCACTTATTCACAAGAATAAGTAAGTTACCCCCAATAAAAAGGCCTTTAGCTGACAGACTTGTACTTTATCCATTGATTTGGGCCACGCACTTCAAAGGGTGGCTCATTGAAGTAGATGTGGTGACCTAATTCTTCCAATGGTGGCTCTGGATCAGTGGTAGCAAACTGAGCAGCTTCCTCGATCTCCTTCCTTACGGCCACATCAATTTCCTAAAGCAAAAAATGGAAGCTTATTAGAAGACTGCTCAGAAAAAGTGTCAGAATTTTCAGTTTAAACCCACTGATGAAGTACTGGTCACAAGTAGGGTTAACAGCATCTGGAAACATGAACAGAAACCTGTACAAACTCCCTTCTTCCTGAACTGCAGCATTTGCCCTTTTTTAGATAATAGTTATCTTACTGCCAGAAGAATGTGACCTCCCTGAGCTTCTACATTTTTGTCTCTGGTTCAACCACACATGCTCAGGGCGCACAGAGGATGCGGACTACAAGGAAAACACCACCTTTTTCATGCATATAAGCCTTTACAAGACCTGTTCTTATCTATCTACAATACAACCTCTGCCTGTTATAGCTGTGTAACCCTCAAGATAAGATAGATAGGCTTTTCAATTAAATGACTCTTAAACTTACTGCCACCTATTAGAGGTTAGTATATGACATGTTTTGTTTATAGCTTAGCTGTCTATTAAAACGCTCATAGTGCAAATATAGTATATGTTATGGGCAAGCAATGCTGAGGGCTAATAATGATTGCTTTTTCTAGGGGAAGTAAAATCAACATTTTGCATGAAGAAAAACACAAACAATAAATTTAACTTACTTGATAGAAATTCTCTGTTGCTAAAGAAACTTGACTTTATTAGCATACTCTCTATATGAGTTTGAGATTATAAGTCTAGAGATGTACGGGTGGAGAACAGTGTAGCATTATTATATCCAGTTGTAGCTATATTGTGCATTTTGTGAGATTTGACTAGAAGTTTTTTT